TGAGTGAGAGAGCCGGTTGCCCTTTCCCTGTTCCCAACCTTTCCTTGTATTTCCTTATTCCCACCCCTCCCTTTTCCTCCACAAGTAAGGTCGGCAACGCATCCGCAACATCTATGTTGCGGATGTCCATGGGCGGTGGTCACTACTGACCATCAAGTGGGCCGTTTGCTCGCTTGCCACCTATAACATAAAAAAAAAAAGACTTTCAACAAAGAGGATGGAAAAATGAAATAATTCAAATTCATAGATGTCTTAATTTGATGGCACTTTTTTAAAAAGTTTGCATTGCTAATTATTATTGTAGTTCGTTATCTAATAAAATTGACTAATTTTCAGTAAGGTTTTCAGTATTAAAAATACTTTTTTCCAATGTTGTAACAGTATTAGATCAATAAAGAGGCTTTTTGACGGAAAAATACAACTGCAGAGTTTAAAAGGCAAACTGATATCTTCAGAAAATGCTTAAAATCATCAAGCTGTTAAGAACTATAAAATTATTAGTGATTTTATTTTCTCATTACTACGGATAGGTACGGCATCTTTTCATTCGAAAATATGAAACGTATATTTTATTAATGAAAGAAGAGTTTAAAATTTAATTAATTTCTATTAAATCTATTTAAATGATTATGGAATTTCACCCGTTTAACCATTTTCAATAACATGATCTCTAAGTATAAATAAGTGAACTACCCAACCAGCCATCTATGTTTATATATATACTATGAATAACTTTTATTAACATAATTAATTATAATTATGAATGGTTAAAATTGTCTGGTGTTACCATCATGTCCACCTGTGTGATGATACCTGTGCCAGTTCAGTCATAATAATGAGTGTTGGATGGTATAAATATAAACGAGGGTTCAGTCTGAACACTATCTTGCTCTAACCATAGCAGGTATCGCACCTCTTCGAAAAAAAGGATTCTTCCAACCGTCTATGAGGCTACTTGTAATAGCATAGTCCGTAATGCTAAAAAAAACTTACATTTTAAAAACTAGAAAGGAGATACTGAATCCGACATATATATGTATAAACATTAATACTTCCGCCGTAACCTTAACGTTAGTATAACACATTACTCAAAGAGTTATAAAATATCGTATATTTTTGTCTGAAAACATTGGTAACTGAAATTATTATATCATTATTCGAATATTACAATCAAAAGTTTTGAACCCATCACTGCACTCGTTGAAAACAATTTTATTAATTATTTATAAGCCGTTTTATTCGATTTAACATGTTAATTTATTCGTCTTGTTAATATTAAATTCTTGCAAAATATATTCTATCCTAAATGCGAGTTATTTTCTCACCTCGTCTTAATCATGGTAGACAGATCTGTGATAATGAGTACGATAATGAGTAATGTAGGGGTCGGTTATACTGAACACTTTAACGTACTTACTACGTTCATTATTTCACTATTCAGAATAAATGAACTCAATGTCTAGATATCCTACAACGAAAATGGTATATTTTCAAATTCTTGAAAATTACTTTGTATACTTTTAAACGTTTCGCTCTTAACATTAAATTTTAAGACACGCTCTTAGTTTTAAATTTTAAGACATGTTTTTAACCAGAAATCAGTAGGACATAACATTAATTAAAAATTTAATAAAACCTCCGACCCAATTAGAAACATGGAGAGAACCAGTCAAGACAAATTCAGAACCCAAACTCGATGGGATTACTAAAAGGGTTAAGTTTCCTACCTTCGAGCCCTAACAGCAGACCAACTCAGTGGTACCAGAAGACATTAGGGTTTCAAATGTCAGATTCCACATATGCTTGTAAGCAAACTGTGCGTGTAACATTCCTATCACACCTAACAATCGACCTGATGACCTTGAAGACCTGAACCGATTTCCACCAAACAACGCTAAGAACACTCTCGATGGATACCTTTAAAACAAAAAAAAACGCATTAAAATCGAATCATCCGTTTGGGAGTTACGTTGCTTCAGACAGACACATACACACACACAGACACGTCAAACTTAAAACACCCCGTCGTTTTTGCGTCTGGGGTTAAGAATGGAACTAAAGATTATTTTAACAATTATAAAAATATTGTTTAAAACCTTAGCGTTCATAGGAATAAAATCAATAATCACTTCAGTTTTCTTAAAATTGTTTTAAGAATTTTACCTCAACTTGTTGATTATAATAATTCGTTAATTTATACTTCAAGAGACCTAGGTATTGGTAAATATTTGTGTCACACGTTTTTGAAAGTAAAACAATTTGAATAATAAAAAACATCTATCAACATGACACTAAAATTTATAAAATGTAAAATAACTCTCCACAAAAAGCCGCGTACCTTTACACTCTGTGTATGTATGTGTCTATGTAGATACAAACGAACGAACGAACGAACGAACTAAAGATTATTTTAACAATTATAAAAATATTGTTTAAAACCTTAGCGTTCATAGGAATAAAATCAATAATCACTTCAGTTTTCTTAAAATTGTTTTAAGAATTTTACCTCAACTTGTTGATTATAATAATTCGTTAATTTATACTTCAAGAGACCTAGGTATTGGTAAATATTTGTGTCACACGTTTTTGAAAGTAAAACAATTTGAATAATAAAAAACATCTATCAACATGACACTAAAATTTATAAAATGTAAAATAACTCTCCACAAAAAGCCGCGTACCTTTACACTCTGTGTATGTATGTGTCTATGTAGATACAAACATTTTCAATACCTACATGTTCCAAACATTCACAAATTTAAAAACAAATATTATATTTCACAAAACAAAACGGCAGTCAAAAAATATTTTTAGCAAATGTTCAATATTTAACTTCACAATATCAGACTTTTCCATTTAGTGATGATTACAATCACAGTCATAATAAAAAGAATAATTTCTTGTTTTTTCGAAACCATTTCAGTTAGTAAGACATTTTTTTTACTTTTTTAACTCAGAAACGGTTTGCCCCTATACTGTAGCCAGTTTATTTGCACAAACATGTTATGTGGTCAACAAAATCAAAGCTTTGTAGATATCTACTCAAATATTGTTTGTTTTATGAAAGGCTTAAACGTATATGAATGATATGAAGTCCATACGATGATAGCTAGAATATTCAAAACAATTTTAGAATAGAAATGCTTAAAATCCAAGTAGAGAAGAGTGTTCTTTCAGATTTTAAAACGTCTTCTTAATCGTACAATAATAGTTGGACACCACTGTTAGAAAACTAAATTCTATTTTATTTATTCTTAGTTACAAATATATTTTTATATAACATCTTTTATACGCTCTGTCATTACTCAAAGGAAAAATAATATTATAAAGAAAAATACAATGTATTTGTTTATAGTCTTAAAGATCTCAGTATGTTTTGTATCATTATTTCATTTCATATTTATTTTCACATTGTCAACGCACGACTTTTTGATGAAAAACATTTGGATAAGTTCTTTCATGTCCTCTGTCAAAGAAAATAGCAAATTAAATCCGTAATTTTTGTTACATATTAAGGTGGTAAAAACACAAGTAATATTGAAGAATGCACCTTTCGATTCCAGTCTTATAGTGAAGTAATAAATAAAAATGCTCAGGATGTACAATACACCATTGCAGTTTATATTCTTGTTACTTTATTGTTGCAAAAGCATTGGAGAATTTTATAAATTTTGTATGAATTCCTGGCGGACAGTTATTTCGTTTAATATTTATGTTCACGCGACAAACTGTTAAGTTACAGTTGAGTTCTTCTATTATGACTTTTATCTCTACTTTAACTCGCGTTGTAAAATTACATGTCGGATGGACAATATACTAATATGTAGTTATAGATTTTTACTAAATTGATAAATTATAAAAATATAAAAACAAATAGTCTTTCCATGTATTTTCTATATGAGTTTTTTTGGTTATTAATCTTTAGTAAATCTATTTACTTAAGTAAGTAATTGATTAGTCGTGGTAGTCGTTTTTTAGGTTGAGTGTAGGAAAATGTAAAATTTGAGGGAATGTAAATTGCATTGATGTTTTTTTTCCACACGCAGTGGTTATTAAAATAAATAATACAATATATATATATATATATATATATATATATATATATATATACATAAATGAACAGGTACCCATTATCACGAATAGTGGAAATATGTAAAAATTTTTCAATTCAGTATTTAGTTCTCCTCGTGAAGTGCATGACTGTTTTGTAGTACAATTTTTGCTTTTGAGTTAAAATTATTAAAAATTAAAAGGTATTTTACTTTCTATAATTTTCTGAGCAATAATAGTGTTGATTTTAATTATTCTTAAACATTTCGAAAACAAAACAAACTCAAGCTTTGTTATTCATGTCACTTAATATAGGTTAAGAATATCAATATAATAATTTTGTTTTAATGTAATATTCGCTTTTAGCTTCGCAGTTAAGAAAAGTTATGTTAACTTTATATCACAGATTCATAGATACGAATTAAATATTATTCAAAGTGATAGAAACTTTCTTGTTTAGAGTTTTAGGATATTGTATAGCACTAATAATGTCTTATTAGTTCGAGGAATATAAAAGGTATAAGAAACAACATCATTTAAAAATCTTGTTATGTACTTAATCTTTCAAAATTAATTTCATCGATAGTTAATATTGAAATTATGAGCGGAGTACGTTAAAGTGTTGAGTATCGCCGACCCCTACAGTACTCATTATTTTTCTCATTAGCACGGACCTGTCTACCGCGATTAAGACGATGCGGGCGAGTAAGGGCGCGCTCATATTGAATTAGATGTGCTATTGATAACATATTTGTAGATTAAATAGAATGAAAAATAATGAAAATAGAGGTTCATGATATTAAGTCAGTTCATAAAGTCTTGTAAAATATTTGAAAACTTTGAGATTATTTCAAAAATATAAATTTTTATTGATCTTATAAGCCATCACATATATTTTATATCATAATCATATCAGTCGAGATGAACGCCCTTCTCGGCGTAGAGACACGATGTTCCGGGTATACAATGCAATCGGTCAAGCGTGGGAGGATCGCGATCTAATGGAGAAGTTTTTGTTTGATTTGTCGCCCTTTTTAGAGGAAGAACATGGGAAGAGGTACTCGATAATACCCGTACTCCAGAAAGTGCAGGGGTATTCGTATAGGTCCTGTTGTAGAAGTCTGTTCCAAACTCTTGTAACGAGGGCACCCCATTTGAGTTTAGTTCCTTTCTTCTAGCTCTCTTGACACAATAGGGGCAAGTGCGTAAGAATTGCGCATTGCATTCTAGAGCTAGGGTTGTCCTAATCTGGGTTCTCCTCCCGAACCAGTCTTTGCCTTATAGTGGGACCGCACATTAGTGGGTGCGACTTCCTGGATAATCTATGGTAGACGTCTTGAACACAATCCTAGCGGTGGCAGATCGAGCAATTGGGTGAAGTCAAATTGGATCACTCAAGAGCAACGTGAATACTCTTTCGAACCATCGAATCTGGTCTAAAAAATTGTATGGGTCAGTTATATCAATTCTTTATATACATATGACTTTTACTAGTCCACGTGTGTTTGGAATTATAAACAATCGCTTAGCTTCAAGGGAAGTCTTAGTACTCTCGGTCATATAAAAGTAGCAAACAACGTTTTTATTGTCTACATTCACATTCCCGTTTCATAAATTTTACTTCAAAAGAAGTAAAAAGTAATAATAGTTGAGTTGAAATTTACTAAAAAAAACTGTTGATTTTCTAATTTAGACTACTAACAAGTTTTTTAATTGGAAGTAAACATTTATAGTAAAATAAATTTATGAATATATAAAAGCGATGTGAACAGAGCTTACTTCGTTTTACCTTCATTTAAAGAAGCTGTTTGGGTAGTTTTAGTATTAAAATACTAATCTAGAGATCATGTAAATAAAGATCCTTAATTGGAAGGAAATCTAGTTATTTTGAAAACGAGTGTGTTAGTTTTTTTGTCGTTTTAATTACTTTAGGTACTTATCTAATTTATTTTCCATATTCGATTTATTTATATGGATTTCACCAAAAAGTACGGGAGGCATGAAATAAACATATACAAACTGATATTGAGTTTATTATAAAAATGTAATTTAAATAAAATTTTAATATTACCAAATGTGTTTCATCATTTTCGGGATGAAAATTTTTCCATAATAGATAAAGAAACAATATTTAAATGAAAAGTCACTATTATAATATAACTACATAGTTAAATAAAACAAAATTTTTGTTTGAAACAAAGCTGTTTATATTAACATGGTAACAATGATAAAATCACCCTCCATCAAAATAAACGCGTCACCAATTCCAATACAAAGCGTCGTATCCGTTCGATGTAATGAGAAAAATAATAGAGCTCTTTATCTCTAGCGTATCGTGGTGCTTAGTAGCTTGACGTTATCTCGCACTTCTGGGAGCCGATTAATAAGGCTCTACAGACTCAGCAGCTTCATACGTCGTTAAAAAACTTCCTTATAACAAATTACATCAATTAATTCTTATACTTACGAACATTTATGGTTATATTCTTATTAACCAGCAGGTGGGATGTAAACGAGAACTATCCATTTTTGATTTAAAACTAAAGAATAACTAAGATTTTTAAGTGAATAATAATAATTAATAAACACATACGGAGAAGACTAATAATCTGACTAAAAAACAAGTAGTAGTTGTAGAAATATTAACATAAAGAAGGCAAAAAAACATTGAAAATATACGCAACCAACGACAAATTACTTTCAACAATAATGTTATATATATGTATGTATATATATATATATATATATATATATATATATATATATATATATATATATATATATATATATATATAATACCTTATAATACACTTCACGAGGAGAACTAAATACTGAATTGAAAAATTTTTACATATTTCCACTATTCGTGATAATGGGTACCTGTTCATTTATGTAATTGCATTATAAAAAATCTGAGCTGATAACAAAATAGCCGAAGCAGAGAATAATTATACTCTACTATATTTTCAACCAAATCCAGTCTCAGAAATACAGTCTCAGAAGAAATATTCTCAGACAATTATTTTACAAATTAAGACTTATAACTAAAAATGAAAATAGTTTCATAGCCACACCTTATTTTATGAATAATTTTGTATTTATAATTTTAAGTCAACCGAAAAACAACATTCATTAAAAAAATCACTCCTTTCATGTTTCTTCTCAATGCAACTCGATTCTTAAGTGGAGTATATAAAAGATTTTTATAACAATACATGTATTGATAATATTAAAAATATGGAGTACTGATTATTATTATCAATTGTAACGAAAGTTTTTCAGTGACATTTTATTTATTGTACGTTTTAATTATTTTGTGACGAGGTCAGTTGCTTTCATACAGTTTGTATTCACTGAAACTCACAGATTATTCCAGACTTGATCACTTTTAACGATGTACTATTCATCAATGAACTTATCCGTTTTTTTTTAAATTCATTTGCGAACGTCGACGAAATCACAATGATTTATTTAATTGTAATCTTTGCAGAGTGGAGATTAAACTTATACGTATTTTTTTAAGTGTACCACTTTATTTATTTCAGACAATTCAATGATACTTTGAATTATAACTTACAATAAAAAGGTACCTTAAGTATCTTTATATACATGTTCTTTTATTTTAACCACAAGAGCTTTTGTACGATTGCAGGATATTGTTCAAATATTTTACACAACAAAGATAATATTTCAAATATTTGCAATAAAACCATGCCAGTACGCTTGCGCCCTTATTTACCCTCATCATCTTAATCGCAGGAGACAGGTCGGTGTTAATGAGAAAAATAATGAGCACTGCGAGAGACGACGATAATCAACATTTTACTGTAGTGGACTTCATAACTTCAATGACTTTTTATTCAAATTCAATCCAACCTTTTGAGAATTGATAATAAATGAATGCAGTTCTTAAAATTTTTTACGTCATTTCCTTAGCTAAATAGGAACGAACGTCATATGAAGCAGTATAAATAAGGACTACCTTCAGGTTCAAAACTAATTACTATATTAGCGTAATTGATAATACAAAAAACTCTTTTCAGTGACCAATAGTTATATTAGCCAGCAATTATCTTATTACCAAGAAACATGACGAATATTGCTGTAAGACTAAGGCATCGACTTCGAAAGGTGATTAGATGTATTTATCTAGGTAAATGTATTTATCTAGGTATTAAATCAGATTATTGGAAAATAAATAAATATAATGTTTATGTATCAACACAAGATGTTTAATGAATTTTTGTGCAGATATTTAGAATTTGTCATAAGATAAAACTAATATTTCGCGGATATACTACGCGACTTTATTTTTGACGAGATGTTGTCTCGCCTGCTCGTGACTGTAAAGTAAGATACGTCAGGGGTATGTAGTTTTTATCAAAAATAAATTTAAATGACTCGCGAAAATCTCAGATCTCATTAGTATAAGATATGTTAGGTTAGCAAACATCGTTTAGGTGTAAAATTATTATTTGATTTTTAATTCCCATGTTATTTTTGTTTTTTTACTTGAAAATAATGTTACTTCCTGCCTTTTAGTGTAACTTTCTATTAGATACGTAGGATTGAATAGCTTTGCAAGATGGAGATTTCCGTATGTGCATCTAGAGTGAGAGAAATCGAGCTCATTTATATAAGAAGTATTGATTTCTCTCTTTAATTTTTTGTTTCCATATACTTTTAGAGAATATTATTATAAAACCAGGTTTTGTGTCTATAAGATCATCTGGGGGATGCAATCTTACAAATAAAAAAAGAATTTCTTAAATCGATTCAGAAGTATTCGAGAAGTCCGGAAACATACATATATAGAATCTGACGTATTGAAAATCTCCTCGTCTTTTGAAGTCAATTGCAAATATAATAAATTATAAATACAACACGTACAGACTTCTAAACCGTTACTCCAGAAATATCGCGTTCCAGTTAAGCTATTCCTACCTGGCGCAAATCAGTGGTTTGTTTAATTTAAAGTTTATATTTTAATTACAGCATTGTTTTAATGGTAGAACCTGATTACTTCTTCTCTCTATGGAAAATAACTCGAAAAAGAAAAATATAAAAATGGGACATGCTATGAATTTTCTGCATTCTCAATACTTTAATGAAATTGCTACATATGCTTTATATTTCTTTATATTGTTATAAACATAATTTTCTTCTCGAAAAGATCTCATTGATAGTTTTTTTCATTAAAAATACCAACATGGGTGTAGGAACACTTTAAATCTTTTCATATTCTTCCTTCTTATTAAAATTATTAATCGAGGGTTTGAAACAATAATCTATAATCTATACATATAATAAAATTATAGAAAAGTGCTGTCTGTACATTGAAAATATAAATAAAAAAAATAGCAGGGGTTATTGCTATGTCGATGTCGAACCCAAAAATGTAATTAACTTTTTTTTGTCTGTTTGTCTGTTTGTCTGTTCACGCTAATCTCAGAAAAGGCTGATCCGAGTTGGATGCGGTTTTCACAAATATATTGTGGTATGGTTCAGTTATGCTTTAGTGTTTGTTTCATGTCAATCGGTTCATAAATAAAAAAGTTATGTCAAATTAAAGAACTGAAGAACTGCTTTCAATATTCGACCGGGTGTGTCAATTGTATGTGGCTCTGTCTCGTGTTAGCAATCCCAGCAGTCTGTATGCTTTCACCCCCGATGGCCATACGTCTAATATTGTATATAGAGAAGCATTACAGTAAAGTAGGTTTTTTAGCTACCCAAAATGACTGTGATTATGATCCAAAATAAAAATAAGTATATATTTAAAATAAACGCTGCCCATAGTCACTATTCCACGCGAACGAAGTCGCGGGCACAGCTTGTTCATTTAATATAGTTTTTTGTTCCAGAAATCGCCAACCTAAAAACTATTTACTATAACCTAAAACTCTGACGAATATAGATTTTTTACATGTTAAATCATGCTACTTTATTTAACAATATGACGTTGCAATATAGATTAATCGCATTTTATAAAAACAATCTCAAGTTTAAAATAATTATATAATTTTTAAGTTATATTTTTATTATATTTAACGTACATAATTACGATTAAACAAAACCTGTCAAGTGCAAATCTGATTAGAACAGATCATGTACGTTCTAGTTTATATATTGTAATATGGCATTTCCTACCCACAAAATAGAAAATGACTTTCATTTGCATCGTTCTATCAAAGAGCATTAAGTGAAGAAAATTTCTTTTGAAAAAATATCTCTAATACGTAAGTACTTATAAAACATGACGTAACAAGGTGCAGCTTAGAAACTTAACATGGTACTAATACTTACCTAATAATATGTTATATATATTTGCGATGTTAAAAATAAACTATAAAAATTAAAAGTAGATTATAATTTTTGTTGAATCATTTAACAGGTCAGCCAAATCGAATTGAATTATCTTGAAACTTAATTTTTTAAGGAAATGAGATATTATCTTTTTTCTCATGAAGATCCTAATGTCAGTGGCGTGCACAGAGATTTGGGGTTGGGTAAGCAGAATATGTATAAAAAAAATTACCAATTTTCATAATACAATCCTTTACTTTCCAAAACATTGATAATAAGAAAATAAGATATTTCGCAAGTATTCATTTAAATGAAACTAATATTTTCGACTTAATACGCATAATTTATTATTTTAGCTGGCAGACGCGATGTCTGCCGTGATCACGGCTGCTGCAAAGTAATCGAAACGTTGGGAGTATGTAGTTTCAAACATTCTTCTTATTTTTCATTTGAAAATAACACACAAGGCAAACAAAATAACTTATTCGTGTGAACACAACCTGCTAACTAATTAAAACTATCATAATATTTTTTATTAATACGAATATCTTTCTTTTAATTCAATCTCTACTGGTCACACATCTTGACTTTACACTTATTTTAATTTTGTTATCAAACGACAATATTGAAAATCTACTCGTATTTCATTACGATAAACACACATCACAAGCACAGAACTCACAGCTATAATATTTTCCATAATTCTTAAATAAATTAATCCATTGTTTATTAATTAAAATTTATTCACTTACGCTTAGAAAGACAACTGACAATATTCAATAATAATAAACGGATGAAAAAATATATGGACAGTTTACCGACCAATCAGTGTCCCATTTCATAAGATAATTAACGGACTTTCTAAGAGATTTTAAACAATACAAAATAATCAGTGCTTCTCGAACACTATGTATGTGTTGTTTTACATATATTTTCCTGTATACATAGACGAGATTTGTAGATCGTCCTTGAGAATTTTTGTAGGGAAAATAATAATAATCAGACAGTGGTTGTGCATGCCGCCTCTCTGGGTGCATAGCGGCGCTAGCAGTTGACAACGGCCGATCGAAAATGTTTCGTATAACCATTTATAGATGGCACGTATTAGCAAATCGTGAATCAAATATGTTATAAATGACTTTAAACATTTGTATTTCTTAATGTATGGTTAAAAGTATATAAGTAAAAATTAAACAATATTGGTTTAGTTGTTATATGGGTAGGGTATGCAGTGCATATTTGCATCTATTGTGTGCACGCCACTGCCTAATATCAACAATAATTTATATGATTTCGTTGTTACTTTGCTATAGTTTGGACAATTATAATTAATGAACATTAATCCAATTAAATTTACCTTGATAAATTCATTTAAACTATTATGATAAAAGGTATAATCTATTGTTAGTTAAATCGTTCGTAATTAATCATGTCAGGTCAGTAGGTATACTAAAATAAATCATTATACTAAAATAAATATACTTATATATACGTAAGTAAAACGAAAATCAATAAAACATTTCTGCATCTATGTCAAAACTTGTAACAGGTAGAAAAAACAACATACCAAGAAATCTTTTAGTTAACTAAAGCAAGGAAAGTTCGTTTACAGGAATTCTTAATTATACTACTTAACTAATGAGCCGACAAAGTACACTCCCAATAAATTGCTTCAAGCCTTGTTTTATATTAAGCAAAAGCAGAACCTTTCGCTGAAATAAATGAGAACATGATTACTGTAACATATAAAGGGTTTATACTTTATATTTGTTTGCTAGCAGGCTTTTACAGTTGTAAATTAAAAGCAGGTGACAGGAAAAATATATTATTCAGTTGGAATTCAGAATATAAAATGAAAATTTTTAGTAAGGAAACATAACAGAAAACAGTAAAGGACTTTTGTACGACACATGATGTCAACGAGAATGCTCTTCACGTAAAGTTTAAAAAACAAATTATGCGATATATTTTTGAGAATGTTCATATTTTTTTCCAATATATTTGAATATGGGTGGTATAAAATATTGTTAATGCAAATATTAGGCGCTCTCTCTTCGAATTAATAAATTATAGTAAATCGATTGAATTTAAATTTAAATGACACAATTTTAACGCAAAATAAAAGCAAATACTTACCTGAATTATTTCTATGATTTTTTTAATGTAGTATGTCTTTATTATTAAAAATTATGATTGTATGTATTAATTATAAATTGCAATATAATGTTATTGTAAATTATAATTACATTGCTTTTACAATTTTTTTTTAAATTTTGTACGTCGATAGATCCTTATGTTGAATTCCAATTTAAATTTTTAATTTTATATTGTTAAACAAGATTATATTATATCTTATAAACTATTCCAATTCGACAACTGTTTCAGAACAGATATATTAAATTTCATATATACCAATAGACTCCTAGCACTACGTAGTCGAAGCACTCATTGTGACAAGAGAGAACAATGTAAGCTCAGAACATTCATTTTAATTAAGAACACAGTTATTACATCTAAGAACTCTGTAATGTTGGATTGAAGATAAATTAATTTAGGTTGTGGTTATCATATCTCATTGTCGTAACTGAATTACGAAAGAACATATTTTATGTACTATATTTAATCAAACTATATTTGTTTTATAAGCTTAGAATAAGATTTATATATAATTTTTAAGAAAATACCACTTTTTATTTTGCAAATTATTTTATTAGAAAAATATTAATGCTTCCCCGTGTAAGAAAATAATAAATAAAAGAAGGTATCCTTTAACCTATTCCAATGAATTTATTTCTGTTTGGATATCCAAAACATCCTTTTATCCGTCAATCGGTCCGAAAATACTGACTTCAATGTGCAAAGCTATGAATAACTCAGATTACACATGAGTGAACACATTCATGACTGTCGCTGCCATGAAAACCCGAATGTTGCCATTTTATACGCTATTTGTTTTTAAGGAAGAACAGTTGAAAAGATAATTAAAATAATAAAAGTTTAACATATTCTATTGAAACTACATATTCTATTCTATTTTTATTTTATTTGAAGATAAATTATGATTTTTCAAATAAATTAATGAATATATGGAAATTATATATTTTTTATATACCTGAATGTATGAAACGTACCTACTTATAGTTTAATGAATTAGGTTTATTAATTAGTATGAATCACAATATCTGCATATTTTATATATTTGGTTTCAAATTAATATAACTTTCTTCGTGACTTTCTTAAAGATCTTTAAAGCGGATCAGATCTAGGTAAATTAAGTGGAAGTACGTTTTAAATTAGACAATCTTTTTGATATATATCTATGCCTTCCTGAACAGTGGTCGACAATAATTCACATTTATTGGAACGATAAGGGATCGGACAAAGAACGATTTTGGTTATATATCAAAATAGATTTTACAATCGTTGAAAACGTTATTATAATAGCAGATTTAATGATTTGGATAATAATTAATTTATGATCCCACATTAATAGAAGGAAGTGGTTTTTTCATTCAAAGTCTATATTTGACATAAATAACTTATCTCCAATTATAACTATTTCCACTTATATGCAATTATATTAAACCGAGTTATAAATTAAAACATAAATCATCATATCCAAGTATACTACATTTTCGAATGTAATGTGTTTAAATTGCAATGTATCTTTCTAAATTGGGTGGCTTAAAAGTTTTGATGAGGTTCCAAAATCCAAACTATAAGTACACTGGTGCTAACTAGAAATTGAATTTTTGTTCTCAAAGCACTCGATTTAATACTTTATTCTTAAATAAAACAAGACTTTAAAGTTATCCATCTAGGTGTTTACTTTGGAAACATCATATAAAAAGGCAATAAATCCGTTAATTTGTCACCAGCTGGCGCTAATTCGTATAAATGGTCCAACAGCACGCTAAATTAAACTCTCAGAATAATGAAGTGGTCGCATTCGTCTTCATTTGAGAATCTAACTCGCTTTATTAGATACATATTAAGTCGTCCACGAAGTTTTGGGTTCATCGGATAGCTCGAGTTTGCAGTGAGATTGTTTGGCAGTTTTGGGTTGGATACGCTTTATTAACTGAGGTTGACAGTTTCCATCCCTTGTAGAGTTTTTTCGTTATCATATATCACGGGGCTCAGCCCGCTTCATAAATCAGAAACTTTAATTACTTTTGTTAGGTATTAAACATAGTGAACATTGTTTAGCTCTACAGTTTTAATTAATATAACAGTAATACCATGGATAAAAATGTTTTATTATTTATTAATATATAAAAAGTATAGATACAAACATATTGTAATTAGTAGCCAGCCGCATTTCCGTTGCTTCGTGGATCGTAGGCGCCCTCTAATAACCCGTCTGTGTGTCTAACTAATGCTCCCGCTTGACCCACAACTTCACTGTACGGAGGCAACATCGAAATAGAATGTCCCTTGCTTTTTAAATAATCTATAGTTTCGTTGCTGAACCTATTCTCTAATTTTAAATTATTATCATCTCCCCCCGTCGCAGGACCAAATAACCACCTCGGTGCAGATACAGATTTTTGTAAATTCATCTTTTGTATAACATATCTATGGAAGATAGCTGCTTGGGTTTGTGGTTGACCATCGCCTCCTCTTGTCCCATAAACCATAATGCGGCCGTCTTTTAAAATGGCAGCGGCAGGATTCAAAGTATGAAATGGTTTCTTTCCTGGCATCAAACTACGTATATGACCTTTTTTTAAATTAAAAGAAACGCCGCGGTTCTGCCATAAAATACCCGTTTCTGGTAAAAGAACACCACTACCAAAATTATGATAAATGCTCTGAATAAATGAAACTGAAAATCCTTTATCATCCATTATACCCATCCAGATTGTATCACCAGGACCTTCACCATTTCCTTCACTAGACGCGCGACTAGAATTAATTCTATTTGCCATATCAAGAATTGCTTGACTTTTTAATAGCGATTCGGGATCCACTTCCATATAACGTGGATCAGTTAAATATTGGTCTCGTAAAATAAATGCTTGTTTTGTAGCTTCGACTGTTGCATGAATGAATTTACCTTCATCATCACCTTTGATTTTCAGCTGATCTAAGATACCTAATATGGCTAAGGAAAGTATACCCTGAGTAGGTGGGGGAAGATTGAATATGTCTCCTTGTTCATGAGTTAATTTTAGAGGAACCCGTCTAATAGCCGTGTAATTTGCAAGGTCTGCTTCTACGATTGGTATATCAAGAGACTTCATGTCTTTCGCTATCAATTTTGCTACATCGCCATTATAGAAACTGTTCAAACCATTTAGCGAAAGCGATCTTAAAGTCTGGGCTAATTTTTTCTGATAAAATTTTTGTCCTTCTCTAGGAAAAGTTCCATTAGGTAAGTAAGTTGACATAAAATCCTTGTTTTGATATTCATTTAAGTCAAGATCTAATAGACCTGACAGATGCGATGATGATACAGGAAAACCTTCTTCAGCATAGTAAATAGCATCCGCTAACAGTCTGGAAATAGAAGTTCTCTGGTATCCACATTCAGTTACGTATTTTAGCGCCTCCTCCCATCCTCCAACAGTTCCTGCCACTGTTATAGCTGACTTGGGACCTTTAAAGGGAATTTTTTCATAGTTTGAATAAGACTCTAAAGTTGCTAAGCTGCCAGCTGGGCCACAGGCTTCAATTGCTATAGGTTGTCCGCTAGGGGGTACAATGAGCCAAAATCCGTCGCCGCCGATACTATTCATATGAGGATAAACAACAGCAATGGTAGCGGCTGCTGCAACCATAGCTTCTATAGCCGTTCCGCCTTCTCTTAGGATAGCTAATGCAGTTTGGGTAGCTAAATGATGCGGGGTTACCACCATACCTCTTGAAGCTATAGTACTTGTATCCATTTTAAGGTCTTATCTGTAAAAATAGTTTTTGAATTTATATAAAACATATAAGTCTAAAAATATACAAACAAACATTAATCATGTTAAAGTTGGTTATTGGTGTCTATTTATAACATATTATGTTAATCTTAGCATCCAATTTATCGTAAAACTTAAACAACTTGTGTCGTTAATACATCGTTTCCAGACTAACGCTTTAATCTAAAATGTCCGGCTTTACAATATAAATTTTAATACCCCGATAGCTTCCAAACCGCTATGTCATAAATACCTACGGATTGTACCAAAAATTATTCTCCAGAGATCGTAAAACTGTACTGTCCATATCGTATAAAATATGATATTTATAAAAGAAAAGAATTAGGTAAATGGTTGACGTTATAAACTTTTCTCATAGGAACATAAGTATAACCTTTAGGGATATGATCTGAATATTATATTAGCTGACTGCTAGTTCCATTTTGAAACGTTAAATTTTATTATGGCGATATTGAACTTCAGCTTGAAGTTCTACAAACATTTCTTACGAAAAGAGTCAACAAAATGCCAAAAATTCTTCATTTAGTTTCATAAAAAATACAGTCAATTCTTTAAAATGAACTCAAATTCAACAACTTTGATATACATGCAAAAGTTAAATAATTTTATTTTGATTTAAAAATATCAATTCTGTTGACATTTAATTAACCCGAGAAACTGTAATTTGTGGCGAAACCCTAACAATAAATTATTTTAATTTGCGTCCAACGTCTTCGGTTACGAAACATCTTTTATGGATAATTGGAAGAAAACTTTCTTTCTCTTGATATTAATTACGGAGACAGTTTAAAGGTCTCCGTATTATTTGTTAGGAAGTTAATTATTAACACTTTCAAACTTATTTTATATTTGCTTCAAATTAATTAAATAAAAAACCAATGACAGTACATGCACTACCAGTAGACTAAGGTTTTCAGTATTAATTTCTCTTCGTTTTTTTTCTTAATTTAATATAATATTTTCTAAAATTTTTAGATGCCGACCAGAAACTACAAATATATTTATATACCAATCCTGATCCACAGATGAATTAGGGCATACAAGCGTAGACTAGACTTATTGGACGATAACCACCCCATGACCCTTCCATATCGTAGGGCAATCTCGTAAAATATGTTTTACAGGCGATACCCGAACTTCGGCCTATTCCGCTAAGCAAATGTCTTGAAAATTAACTACTATTTTGAAGTATATATTTATCAAGTATCAAGAAGTTGTAATTGGAATACAACAAGCAATTTAATCTAAAATATCCATTTCACTTCGTTGAAAAAAGTAAAAAGTTTTAAACACCAACTGTGTCTGGAATTGTATCTTATTAGGTTTTTTGCAATACGCAAGAAGTGTCTTCACTGAGATGAAAACCAAAAAAATTATATCCAACTGAATAAATAACAATAAATAAGTCTTGTAAAATATGACGTTAAAATTACTAATCTTAGGGCATTTACAGCCTTCTATCAATCTTTTCCTTTTACTGCAAATTCAAACAAATTTCTTTCTATACAGTAAATTAATTATTTATGAGATTTATGACATTTTGCATTATTACACAAAAATCTACATTGAAAATTATTCATTGTAAACCGTAAACAGCGTATACAATTATTTGCAAACATTTACAAATGATACAGAAACTGTTTTATTTAGATAGAAACCCATACTGATAGCAATTGATGGACTATGGAATAACAATATCAAGTGAATTTAGTTGTAGATGTAACCAAATAGTATACAACTACACGGCACAAAACAAAACCTTACTCTAGTATAATTTATATATAGAATATAAACGAATACTGTTTTCTATAATAATTCAACGAAAACGATTCGAGAGTACATATATTTTATATCAAATTAAATTAATAATCTTACCTTTATTCTTGTTACATATATATTTAACACAAACTCACCACTGCTTCTTACACTTGAACAAATATAAATGATTACTTAAAATGTTGCTTATTACGTTTATCGTACTTGTTTCAAAGTAATTTTAATATGATTATAATTGATATACCAATAACTTAATGCTTATCATTAGTTAATGTATTTGTTTGTGTGCCTAATATTTGTTTACGAATTTTATCTATACTCTTGTTACGTACGCGCTACATATGAAGAAAAAAAATGAACATCGCCGGGGCGACATCTTTGTATCAGTGAAATATCGTATAACGAGTAACACCAAGCCGTCTGAACCAGAAGATTCAACATACCACACAAGCAATGGAATGCCATTGTCATCCTAACATCAGGGCAATCATGTAGTCTTAGGTATAGGTTATAAGTTTTAAAAAGTAATTCGTATTTTAATATACATATAGGTATTTTTCGTTGTTTTCCTGGAACCTCTGGTTGCCACCCTATATAATTCTTTTGTAACTATAAAATATAAATATTATGTTCACAATCAGCTACCAATACTGTTATTTAAATTTGTTATGATGTCGTCGAAATGAATTGTCTGTTATATGTATTAAGATAGTAATAACTGATAACAACTTTAATAGAACTTTGAAACTAGCAATCAACTCGCAGACCGAAGTTTGACTCCCTGTGAAACTTTTATAACAGAATGGCAGATATTAGTTATGTCTGGAGGAATCGCTTGAAATCTCTCTTTTATAACTTATTGGAATATTACAGATTAGGGTTTAACTAACTCGATATCGATTGCATTAAAACAATCGTAACGACATCGCTCATTCATTAAATTCTCATAATAATACATATAAAATACAAAAAAAATGCATCACAGATATAAAAATTTATAATGGAATCTCATTCCAATAAAATGCTATGACTTTTTACACCTGGCACAAAGGTTGCTGTAATGAAATAAAACTTTAGTATTACGGAAATATTGTTGGTTGCTGTATTCTCAAAATAGAAAGGAACAATACGCTCTTTTGTGGAAGAGACTTTGACTGCAGCTTCAAAGAAACGTCACACGTGTGTGCACCTGGTCTCGTAGGATGTATACTTAGTTTAAAAAATACCAATAGTTAATTAAATTTATTGCAAAAATATATTTAATTTAAGGGCGCATAAAAATATATACTCATTTTATGCTATCGAAACATAGACATTTGAAAACTAAATACATTTTTTTTAAATAATGTTTATGAAAATGTAAGAATAAATTTTTATATGTACACTGAGTCCGAGACTAATGAACCTAATAAATATATAATACAAAATATATTGTTCTGTGTATGTTTTACTAATACATACTTGTGCACTCATAAGTGTAAGTCTTTATTTGTCATCATTTTACCAATTTTAAAGTATGGGCTAGAAAATCGTTTACCGTATAATATAATTAAAATATATGTATAATTAACATATGTACTTTAAATACACCAATATAGTAAAACATTATCTATATGACATCTTTGTTATTCAAACGTGAAACTAAATTAAATATTTGTAATCCCAAGAAAACGTTTCCTTTAATCTATTCTATTTATGACATATGTAGCTTGCTTTGTTACGGTCAAGTGGCCATATTAGAGAGTTAAGAGTTTATATAATATTTAAAAATGCCAGTGTTACTTTTTCTACTATTTCTGATGCGTAATTCTATATGTAATAGTAATGAACAAAATATAAATAAGTATATATATAAATTGTGCAAAACTGAAAGCCTAGGGAGTAACAAAATTCGATTTATATCCACCGTTGGACAGCCGTCTTTTTATAACTGCTCATATTACTTTTCCGTATGAAAGCAAAAACATGTTTTTACCCGACATTTCTTATTCTTACTGATATGTTTTTTATTGAAGTGAAAAATTGCTGCAACACTCGGTTAAAGAAATTAATAACAGAAAAATATATCAATATATGTATAAGAAACAAAATAATACTTAAAGTATGTAATAAATTTATCAAAAATATTTATATTACAATGGATTTGTCTATTGTTTTTGAAATTTCCAAATACAGCACTAATAAGATTCAACTTATTTGTGATATATTTGCTAAACTATAAAAAAATTACCGACTTCAATCTAATTAAAAGTAATGTTAACATATTTTATACAATACAAAGAGTACATATTGGATATCAAAATAATCGTCCCTTCAAATAAAAAAACATATGTAGAGAGTGACGACAAATATTTACATTTCTAAACTTTTATATCTTCTTCTATATTCATATAGATTGGTATAAAAATTTAAATAGGAATAAATTAAAGTAAATTTTAATTCTAAGTTTCGTTTTGGTCAAAGCACATATTGAACACTAGACATTTTGTAAGCCGCTCCGCCCGTAACGTGGAGTTCCGTTAAAGGCTTTAAGAAGGAAGGAATATTAAGTAGGCTTTGACCAGCTTTGAGGCAAGTTCGGGCTTTATTGATTTATCCCATGTTTGTGTTGGCACATATATTATAAATAAAATTATATATTAAATTTAAAGTAAGGACACGGTAGCTATGTTTGAACTTCAATTTCCTTCTATATGCTAGAAATACATAAATATTATATAAGTCTAATCATTTTTATTTATGGACTATCAATATATTTTTAAATATTTTTTATATGGAGATTGTTAATGTAATTTTTAAATCTCAGATTTCATTACTGTCCTTTTCAAACTCCTGCAATAAGTTTTTGGTGTATTATAATATGGAATTGTACATAAAAATTATTTTATGTTTGTATTTTCAGTCACTTATACGTTTTTAAATATTATTTTAAAAAAAAAGTAACATTGACCCTCCAAGCTCGCTAACTAATTCAAGTAATATTACTTTTATATAAACATCATCATTTTTAAAGAATCATTCAAAGTCTTCTTTAAATGAAAACTAACTGTAAACTTAAACCACGTTGTTACATATACTACACCAAATTTATAATAACTATGATTTTATGACAAGAATAAGTTTAACTTTTGAACGAATCATTGAGCTTATTCAAATAAGTCTGCCGGAGTAACAGTTACTCTTTC